CCATTCTTACCGAATGTCATCAAACGTGCCATATACGATCATCTAATTAACCGTTTTCTTTAACATTAACCTCTTTGACCAAGTTAAATCTGTTTTTTAATCACTTAACCAATCTGCTTTAATTCTTGTCTCAAATGACCTTTTTTTCTCCTGACTCTGGATCTCTTTCTTCCTTGGTTCTCATGTATTTATCCTCTGCATATCTGCATTTAAGACCATTGATCATTCTATTTTCTTCGAGTGCCTTCACATTCATGTCGGCTGGTTAGAAAGGCATCGAACCAGCCGACATGAATGTTAAGGCACTCTCATCGTCTGTATTACGTTTCTAGAAATTAGATAGATCGTTTATTGTCATTGTCACCAGTACAACGAAATTTAAAATACTCACCAGTCAGGGCATCATTCATAAATTTAAATTAAATAAAACAAGAAAATAAAAATAAAATTAAATGAAAGATAATCAATTTATACTATATATAAAAACAGCCCAAGTATACCCACATACCCACATAAGGTTACATTTTGTCATTACACATCTCTATTTCACAGTCAATTGTAAACACTATTACTTAATAATTAATTAGCATTATTGAGTGTGGTGATCGCTGTAGGATAAAAGCTATGTTTGAATCTGTTTGTCCTTGTTTTGACTGATCTGAATCGTCTGCCTGATGGCAACAGCTCAAACAGTGAGTGTCCAGGGTGAGAAGAGTCCTTTATAATGTTCTGTGCTTTTTTGATGCAACGTGAACTGTGTAGTTCTTCCAGTGTGGGGAGATGGCAGCCGGCGATCTTTTGGGCTGTGTTGATGACCCTCTGGAGCGCTTTCCTCTGAGCCACTGTGCAGCTGGTGTACCATACACAGATGCAGTATGTAAGAATGCTCTCGATGGAGGCTCGGTAGAAGGACACCAGCAGTTTCTGTGTGATGTTATTATTCCTGAAAATTCTCAGGAAGTAAAGTCTCTGCTGGGCCTTTTTCAGAAGCTCAGTGCTGTTAGCGCTCCAGGTCAGGCCCTCCCCAATGTGGACTCCCAGGAAGCAGAAGTCTGCCACCCTCTCCACACAGTCCCCGCTGATGATTAGTGGTGGAGTGTCCGTTTTCTTTCTCCTGTAGTCTATTATGAGCTCCTTGGTCTTTGCGGTGTTAAGGAGCAGGTTGTTGCCCCTGCAGTATGCTGTCAGCCGTTCCACCTCGTCCCTGTAGGCAGACTCATCCCCCCCAGAGATGAGCCCCACCACTGTGGTGTCATCAGCAAACTTCACAATGGTGTTGCTATGGTGGACGGCGGCACAGTCATGTGTGTAGAGGGAGTAGAGCAGGGGGCTCAGTACACAGCCCTGGGGGGAGCCGGTACTGAGGCTCAGGGCTGTGGATGTATGACGGCCCACTCTGACCCTCTGTCTGCGGCCCGAGAGGAAACTATATATCCACATGCAGGTGGAATGTGGAATCCCCAGGTCGCCCAGTTTTTCCACCAGTTTGTGTGGGAGGATGGTGTTGAACGCGGAACTGTAATCCACGAAGAGCATCCGCACATAGCTCCCCTGCTGCTCCAGGTGTGACAGTGCAGCATGTAGTGCTGTGGCCACGGCGTCCTCCGTGGATCGGTTCGCTCTGTAGGCAAGCTGGTGGGAGTCAAGGTTTCGGGGCAAGCTTCCTATGATGTGACTCCGGACCAGTTTTTCAAAGCACTTCATCACCACTGGCGTGAGTGCTACTGGCCGGTAGTCGTTGTAGCTGGAAATGTGGGTTTTTTTGGGCAGCGGGACTATGGTGGAGGACTTTAGGCAGGTTGGTACAGTGGACTGTTCCAGAGACAGGTTGAAAATCCCTGTGAAGACTCCAGCCAGCTCGTCAGCACAGTCCCTCAGCACACGTCCCGGGACGCCATCAGGTCCCGCAGCCTTCCTCGGGTTGACGGCCCGCAGCGTGCGCCTCACCTCATGCTCCTCTACTGTGAGGTTTAAGCTGCTGTGGACCGTGAGGTTTGGTGATGCTGTCCCTTGTGGTGTCACCTCAAAGCGGGCAAAGAAGAGGTTCAACTCCTCTGCCAGAGCGTTGTCACCATCAGCAGCTCCGCGGTTGGCCCTGTAGTTGGTGAGGTGCTGGACTCCCTGCCACACCTGCCTGCTGTCGTGACTGTCCAGGCGTTCCTCAATCCTCCTCCTGTAGTCTGCTTTGGTCTTGCGGATGCCTCTCTTCAGGTTAGCTCGGGCTGTACTGTAGAAAGCTTTGTCTCCGGAGTTGAAGGCGATATTCCTCTCCTTCAGCAGTTGCTGGACCTCCCGGGTCATCCAGGGCTTCTGGTTGGGGTAAACCCGAATGCGTTTGTCCACAGTGACAGTGTCTATGCAGTTTTTAATGTAGCACAATACACTATATGTGAACACCTCCAGGTCCTGATGTTCGAAGACCCCCAGTCGGTCCTATCAAAGCAGTCCTGCAGCTGCTGGGTGGCACCCTCAGGCCAGATGGCGACAGTTTTTGTGATGGTAGGAGCCGTTTTCTTGATGGGGGCGTATGCAGGGATCAAAAGCAGGGACACATGGTCAGACTGGCCCAGGTGTGGTAGTGGTCTAGCCCTGTAGCCTAGTTTGATGTTGGTGTAGACCTTGTCCAGAATCTTAGTTCCCCTAGTAGCACACTTAACATGCTGGTGGAATTTAGGGAGTGCTGCTTTTAAGTCTGCATGGTTGAAATCCCCTGCTATAATCAGCACAGCGTCAGGATACTTGCTCTGCTGAATGCTAATGCTGCCATGTAAAAGTCCAATAGCTGAGTTAGCATTAGCATCCGGTGGGATGTAAACAGCAGTTATCATGACCACAGTAAACTCTCTTGGGAGGTAAATCGGCCTGCATTTAACAGTCACATACTCCAGATCTGGGGAGCAGTGGCTGTCTACAGTCACAGTGTTAGTACACCAGCTCTTATTCACGTACACACAGAGCCCCCCTCCTCTGCTCTTACCGGAGTCTACTGTTCTGTCCTGGCGCTGTGCTGTGTAGCCTGCAAGCTCAATAGCAGAGTCCGGGATGGATGAATGAAGCCAGGTTTCTGTGAAAAGCAGAATGCAGCTGTCCTTCACTACGTTGCTCGCTGTAGTCTGTAGCCTCAATTCATCCATTTTGTTCGTGATGGATCTGGCGTTCGTGAGAAATAGGCTGGGTAGCGGTGGTTTGAGTGGCTGCCTCCGTAGCCTGGCTAGCGCACCGGCCCTGCAGCCTCGCCTCCGTCTTCTCTCTCTACGCCGCCTTCGCCTCCTCCCCGCCGGGATGATAATCCACGGAGAGCCGGGCCTCCTCGCTAACTCCACTGGAATCTTGTGAAGACGGAGAAACTCGCTTGTAACACTCCGATCGTAACATAGTCCGATCTTAAGGAGATCGTGCCGGCTAAAGGTGTTACTCGCCCGACAAAATGAACACAAAACAAGACATAACGCGAACATAAACAACCATACAAGGCACCGACCGGGTAGACACTGAGCTGCTGCAACTGTGTGCGCCGCCATCTTCATCAGCTTGTGAGAGGTGTCACATCCTCTCACAAGCTTCTGCTTTATTGTGTTCCCCAAGGGTCTATTCTGGGTCCTCTTCAATTCACCATATATATTCTTCCGCCTTGGCAAACTCATTTCAAGCTTTGGTATAAAACACCATTTCTACGCGGATGATACACAGATTTATATTCGTTTAAATCAACTTGATTCAAATTCCCTTTCCACCCTTTATTCCTTTCTTGCTGCAGTGTCTAACTTTCTCACAGCAAATGTTATTCAACTAAATAACTCTAAAATTGAAGTTATCTTGGGGGAAAAAATCAATTACCTCACAACATCAGCAAATCTACTGTCCATCTGCTTGAATCGGATCTTCATGTTAGTTAACAGGCAAAAAATCTGGGTTTAATTATTGACTCTAACCTCTCCTTTTCTTCTCACATTTCCTATATGTGCAAGACCACTTACTTTCATCTTCAGATTTCTCGTATCTGCAATTAATTCTCTGATACAGCTACAGAAACAATAATTAATACATTTGTAACTTCCAGGCTGGATTATTGAAATCATCTGTATTTGATGTTTGTTCATCTCTCATTCAACGCGTGTAGTACATTCAATACGCAGCTGCAAGAGTACTCACTCATACCCATAAGCACCATCATATTAGTGGGCCTTACCTAGTAAAATAAAAATTGTTTTTAATTTACATTACATTTACATTACATCCAATTTACGATTCATCAGTCCAGAATCACTTTCAAGATTGCACTCACTGTTTAAAAAATTATTCCCGTGCTAGCCCCTGCCTATATTATTCCTCTGATTTCAGTTGACTCCCCTCCCCAGGTTCTCTGTTCATCTTGTCTAGGTCTGCTCTCCACCCCAAAAATAAAACTTAAAACCATTAGTGAATGAGCTTTCTCATGCGCAGCCCCTGCAGTCTAGAATGCCCTCCCACTACACATCTAATAAGTCCAACATATTATTCAAATGTGAACTAAAGGCTTTTTATTCAACCAGGTATATGCTGAAAAATAGGTAATCACTTTTGGACATTGGACCAATTGATATTAAGTTGTCGTAACGTTTTGAAACTTCACCGCCGCCCCATCTGGCTTGGTTGGTAAGTTGGGATTGTGGTCTGGGATGTGTATATCTAATTGACTAATTTTTTTCTTTTGATAACTTATTTGTTGTTGTTTTTGTGCTATTTCTTATTAGTTTTTCATTTTTTATTTTGCTTGGTAGTAGGGTTTTCATTTGCGTTGTATGTATGTGTTGGGCTTCTTTCGCACCGTACGTAGCCAACCACGTATATGGGATTTGGTCCTTATATAATTAATGTAAAGCGTTGTGGGATGCTTTTGGCATTAATGGCGCTATATAAAATTTAAGTATTGTTATTATTATAGCTAAACCGGGGTTATTGTTGTCTTTGGGTGTGCTCTTTGAACCTGAATGTTGTAGCGTATTGTGTCTCTTCAACAGGGCATGTCTCAGCTCAGAACCGCATTGTCAACGGGGTGGAAGCAGCCCCACACACATGGCCCTGGCAGGTATATACCTCACACAGCAACAGCTGCCTTTCCCCACGAAGTGATGGTGACATCCTCCTTGGCGTTCGTGCCAGCAAAATCTGATTGAGCATGTGTTGGCTGGGCACGTGAGCTACATGACCCATCTAAAGTTTCCCTCACACGTCAAAGGGATTTTTTCTAAGGCATTTTTTGTCATATATAAGCTCCCAACATAATTCAACCCTGATATAACCCACTATTATTGTAAGCAGGTCAGCCTGAATGTTTCAAACCAGCATTAGGTGTTTCTGTAACGGGGTTCAATTACAGATTTTCCACGCTTTATGGAGATTTGGTTTGTACGATTTCATTTAGATGTGGCTAACCTGTTTCTACCCAAAATTCGCGATATGCGGTTTGAATTCACTCATGCCGCTATGCAGTCGGAAGTGGGATATTGTGCGTACTACTGTATGCGCCACTTTGCATGCAGCTGTCTCGTGCTGTGCATTGTGGATTGGGTGACTGCAGTCTATGCTACGCAATTTCACTTTGTGAGCCCTTATTTGGAATGCATCTACCGCATAAAGCGAGAGAAACCTGTACATAGCATAATATTTGCATACTGGCTGCAAAAAAACCCACAAGGAATTACACATCAGGCAGCTTCACAACAATATTACATCACCAATGCAATGCCAACGCCACTCATCTGATTGGGCATAAGACCTCTTGGCATCAGCACAATCCCCTCCCATCCCTCTCAACAACACCATCACTCAGATGAGGGACGGTAGCAGACCCGATAATAATAATAAAAAAAACAGATGGCAGTTAATCCCCACCTCTTCATGGATACTTTCAAGGATAACAGAAGGATCACTCCCTTCTCAGAATGGGTGGGCATCAGCATACTCTCCATGCCATTGTGGAGTAGTGGGGATGACGTCATTTGCGTGGTCTCAGTACACAGAGTTCAATGTTATAGGACAAAGGTCAATTCCCACCGTGTGCAAATTATCCCATGATTATACAGTGCACACAGTTCACCATTGCCTCACTGGGGTGGACCATCAGTGAACGTGTCCACTAGAGCCAACTGCCGCGAGCACACGCACTCTCCGGGCCAGCCCCGTACCATTCCAGTTCCAGCACGGTTAAATTTTGATTTAAAGCTTTCGTGACTGCAGGGATTCATCTTCTTGGTTCTTTCGGTAAAGTCACGTAGAAGGGAAGTAATAATAAAAATAAAACATAATAAACATAATAAAATTTTATTATGTTTTATTTTTATTATTTTATTACTTCCCTTCTACGTGACTTTACCGAAAGAACCAAGAAGATTTAGCACGGTTCACGAGCGGCTGTGGATATAATGCTTGATGTCCTTCTGTGTGCCTCAACTCGATAAACCCGACGTTGTTTTTTTTTCCGATGCAGGCGTCGCTACAGGCGCAGACGGGGACTGGCTGGTACCACGTGTGTGGTGGCTCGCTCGTGCGACAGCAGTGGGTGATGACCGCCGCACACTGCATCCAGTGAGTTGTGTTTGTGTGGCACAGGGTGTCAGGTAAGGGTCTGAGAGAAGCTCCACAGCCCCTCCCCATTAAAAGTCCCACATCAAGGTAATATTAATGGATCGCGGAGGGGGGGTACTAAGTAAGGTACAGTATTTATACGAGCTGTGTAACACTGAAGCTGCGCCCACCCTGCACGCATGCGTATTCTACAGTTTTTCAGCGTCTGATACGGCTGGAAACAGCCAGTACCAGCGGAGAGCCATGGGGTATGGATGCACGCCTCCATACGGCGTGGACTGGGGGACATCGCGCGTCAGCATTTCTTGTGTACAGGTTTCGAGTTGGAGTTCGAGAATAAAACGGAACCCACCTGGAAGAAGCCTCACGTCCATCGTTGTGTGCAATGCGGACACTAGAGTATGTTGGCATACTATCTTTAAATCAAATGTGCAGCCAACGATCTGGGCACGAGCTCAAACAGTTCGAAAGTGCTACATTTTCAATGGTGTTACAATCATCATCATTGGCCACAATCCACTAGATGAAGACCTCCCCAAGCTGTAGTCATCATATCATGGTCATGAGATGCAAAGGTCCCTCTAACTCATGCATGGTGGATGTCCTCTTAGATGTGGTCGTTTATTTTTCTGCTGGCCATTGCGAGTTTAGTCCAGTGTTCCGTATTGTCCCTCCTCGTGTATATTGTCTGCATTGACAAATGGATCAGATACGTGGATATCGACAGATAAATGAAACAAACGATGAATAGTGTGCAAAGGAGCTTAGAGACGTGCATCCTTATTAGTGCAATGAGTGGCAAGGAGAGCAAAAAATATAATAATAGGGGTTTTCCCCTTTTTTTCTCATTTCCTGCCATTTTCTGCCTAAAATATTAAAAAATTAACTTACACATAGGATGCACTTTTTTAATGTTTTACAATAATGTCTAATAGTGTATTGTATTACATTGCTCTGTTTTTTTCTTTTTTTACATTTTCTTGTTTCATTGTATGGAATGGCAGAGATTAGGGATTAATAAAGTACAACCATAACCACAATCATATAAACAGAAATCTATTTTATAGCAATATATTGTGGGGGACATTTTGAGCATATTTGAATATTGGGGGGGATGTGTCCCACCCAATAAATATTATAATTACGGCCTTGCTGCTGATCAAGATCCCTATTTATAATCTTGGTTTGCCACTGAATAAGCATGGGTTTCTTAAGTGCAGCGAATTCATGACTGTGAACTACAAATCACAGCCTACATTTGGTTTCAAATCTGGCCTAGGTCTGCAGATAATTTATTTTTGTAATACTGTAGAAGTTGAAAATTCTATGCTCCAACAATCCACAAGTTCTATAATTCTCAGCGCCCATGTGGTCCACAACTCCTATATAATTCACAGGGCCAGAGATCCCAAAATCAGAATTTTTTCTGCGGAAGTTTGGCTTTTATTTGCGGTGTACCGCCGGTTACAAAATCTACTGGGAGATCCCCCACATATCACCGTGGATTATAGGAGTTTCTCTTTATATATGTTTGTAGTTCACTCATGATTCGACTCCAATATCCTATGGTGATAATAAAAACCATTTAAATCCCTTTGTTAAGCTACTTCTCGATGAAGGCTTTCTCATATTGTCTAACTTCATGGGTATTGTTTAACCGTATTTCATCTTGGTGGTAAATGCAGAGCACTGAACGGGGGCATGGAGGGTGGGATGTGGTTGCAAAATCGGTTACGTTTGTGTAAAGTAGTAACTCGGCAGGAGACGACTTCACGGGTAGCACACTCTTTATTTTCACCAACTTGTAGTTACACGGATGACTAACACCCTACTTCGTTACACGGGTGACCAACACCCACTTAGCTACACGGGTGACGGACACCCACTCAGCTACAACTTCGTTACACGGGTGACCAACACCCACTTAGCTACACGGGTGACCAACACCCACTCAGCTACACGGGTGACCAACACCCACTCAGCTACACGGGTGACTAACACCCACTCAGCTACACGGGTGACCAACACCCACTCAGCTACACGGGTGACTAACACCCACTCAGCTACACGGGTGACCAACACCCACTCAGCTGTACTGACACGGGCTCTTACGCCCCGTAGCCTTCCGGGACACACCCAGCCGGGGTGCCCGTCTCGGCTCTGGGTACCACCGTCCCGACCCACACGGGCGTCGGACTACGGTCCCCCCAGTCTCGGCTCCGAGCCACACAGGGCCCCGGTCCCCACAAGGACGGCGGGACTAGGGGTCTCGGGCCCCTACCTCCTCCACCCCGTCTTCGGTCTTCAACTGGTTAACACTGACCACGAGTGCTCTCGCGCGTCCCCCTTTATACCCCTCCTGCGGACGTCGCTGAGAGTACCCACTTATCTGACCAATCACTGCGCACTCGCTACGATCCTCTTTTCCCAGCTTGTGTGAGCGCGCCTCACCACCGGCGCGCGCGTCCATGCCACGCCCACATCGCGTGCCCAACCCCGCGCCCCGTGATCCATCACTGCCGGCGCACGTCAATACCACCACTACATCACCCCCTACCACATAGCTCGCAGCCGACCCGGCTGCTAACAAAACATACAACACCCCTTCACTCCCATGTGTGCCCCGTAACATAACACAAACCCTAACAACACAACATGAACACTGCAATCCGCAAAACCCCGCAACCGCCACACCCGCAACAAGAACAACATGCACAATCCGGCGAGTGGCAACGATACTGTGTATGCGGAAAGAGTAACAATAAAAAAAAATTTCTTTAATCATTTTCTCTTCTTTTCTCTCCGACTCATGCAGCGTCCCAATGTCCGAGCGTCCCTTGAACGGGACATTACCCCGGCAGAGGGGGAAGCCGGCAACGAAGTCGGGCTTTAATACAAAAAAAGAAAAAAAAAATTTCTTTTTTTTTTTTTATGAAAAGTGTTGCGTCCTTGCCCGAGTCCGCCTTGCCGGACCGTCGTACGGCACAGGACGCAGTTGGCCATCCGGCGGCGCCGGCAGTTCAGGAAGGCATGGGCCAGGGCTCCGCGCGAGCCCCGGGGTTCCGGTTCCCGACGGTCAACAGCCGTCAGGTCCGAGACACCTGGGGGTGGGTCAGGTGGAGACACGTGAGGATCAGCCTGCGACACATCCCTCCCCGAGTCGACGGTCACATCACACGCTCGGTCGTCACGGCACAACCCGGGGTCACGCGGCGCCGCGTAGGGTTTCAGTCGGGAGGGGTGCACGTACCAACGGCGTTTTCCCCATTTAATCTGTATACTCTGGGGTCGTGCAACCCGCACAATTTCCACCGGTCCCCTCCATGGTCTCAACAGTTTGGGGGACGTAGCCAACGGTGCGTGTGGACAATGCAGCCAGGCCTTATCGCCCGGTTCCCAATTGTGCGTATGCACCTTCCGTTCATGCAATCGCTCGTTCGCGATCTGCCGAGAGCGTGAATTCAATCTCGCAGCCTCTCGCGCCTCAGCCAATTTGGCAATGTTAAACTTAATGTGGTCTGCCAATTTAGATTTTGCACGTGGCTGTGAAATCCCCAGTTGGACGTCCATGGCCGGATCAGCCTCCCGCCCATACATCAGAAAAAATGGAGAAAACCCCGTCGCCGCATGGGGTGCCATCCGATAGGCCGCTAGTACCCCCGGTACCTGTAAGTCCCAATCCACCTGGTCGTCGCATACCTGTTGGCACAGCATAGACGTAATCGTCCTGTTCAGACGTTCAACCATACCGTCAGTCTGCGGGTGGTACGGGGAGGTACGTACTTTCTTTGTACCCAACAGGTCGCACACCTCGCGCAACAAAACACTCGAAAAGTTCTTCCCTTGATCCGTCAGCAAGCGTTCGGGGGCGCCTTTGTCCAAAACGTAACCTTGGACAAAGGCGTCCGCCACTGCCGCAGCCGACTGGTTGGCGAGTGGCCACGCCATGGGCCAGCGGGTGAAGTACTCTACGCCAACCAGCAGGAATTTATTTCCCCGGGGTGTAGTGGGAAAGGGCCCCAAGATGTCTAGCGCGACCAATTCGTTCGTGCGCGAAACTTGAATGGATTGAAGCGGTGGATTAGCCGCTATTGGTGGCGGTTTTCTTTTAGCGCACCCTACACACACCTTAAGAATGTTCGCCACGTCATTGCCCATCCCAGGCCAATAGTAGTCTCGCTGAATGAGGGCGAGCGTTTTGTGAAACCCCAGATGCATGAGTCGTTCATGGGCAGCCAGGACGACCTTACCCCGTACAGCAACCGGCACCACAAGCATGTGACGCCGGGACATGGAGTCCCACTTCATCAAGAGGCCCTGTCTGCACACCCAGGAACCGACCCGCGTTTCCCCGCCTTCGGGAACGTTAACCTTCCGACGTAGCGCGAGTAGGGAGCTGTCGGCCATTTGCAGACGGCCCCACTCGATGAGAGGCAATGCTAACAGCGAGTCCCTCCCCGTGGGGGCGTCGACCCCCGTAGTATCCGTGGCGGCTAGCACCACTTCCGCGGGGACATCGACAGAAGGTTTACACCGCGCCGATCCTAACTGACATGCGCATTCCGTACGCGTCGGCAACCGTGACAATGCATCCGCATTCGAGTGGCGCAACCCCTTGCAGTAAATCGTCGTGAATTGGTAGTCCTGAAGGACCTCCAACCATCGGGACAATTGGCCGGATGGCTGCGCCACCCGCATAGCGTATTGGAGAGCCGCATGGTCCGTGCGAACCGTAAAGTGACGGCCATACAGATACGGCCTGAATTGCTGTATAAAAAACACAATCGCCAGCAATTCACGCCGTGTCACGCAGTAGCGTTGTTCCGCGGGGGACAGAACCCTGCTACCGTAGGCGACCACCCGTTCGACCCCCCCGACCACCTGTGAGAGCACTCCCCCGATACCCGTGTTACTGGCATCCGTGTCGAGCACAAACGGTTGCGTGAAATCGGGGTAACACAAGGGGGGAGCCTGCACCAAGGCGTCACGAAGGGAGCAGAACGCGGCCTCCTCCTCCGGCCCCCAGTGAAACCGCACCCCTTTAGCCGTCAAGGCGTGCAGGGGCCTGGCTATGGTGGCAAACTGTTTGACAAAACGACGGTAATAGGAGGCAAATCCTATGAAGCTGCGGACTTCAGTAACAGAGGTCGGTGTTGGCCATGAGCCGACGCATTGCGTCTTAGCAGGGTCCGTCGAGATCCCCGAACGGCTAACGATATGGCCCAAATACCTGACCGATTCCCGAAGCAGAAAACATTTAGCCGGTTTAAATTTAAGCTTCGCGGAACGCATCCTGAGAAACACTGCCCTCAGTCGCTGGAGGTGCTCCTCAAAGCTTCGGCTGAAAACGATGATATCATCGAGGTAAATCAAACAGGTGTCCCATTGAAGGCCTGACAAAACCAATTCCATGAGCATCTGGAACGTGGCAGGAGCGGAATGTAAACCCATGGGCAATCGGTTGAACTCAAATAGGCCTCCCGGTGTCCGGAAAGCGGTTTTAGGTTTTGATTCGTCATCGAGGGGCAATTGCCAAAATCCCGAAAGCAAATCGAGCGTCGAAAAAAACTGTGCTCCTGCCAAGGCATCCAGCGACTCATCCATCCTGGGGAGCGGATACGCATCGGCCATTGATATTTTGTTTAGGCGGCGGAAATCGACACAGAACCGCAGGGATCCATCCTGTTTTTTAACCAAGACGATAGGAGCACCCCACGGACTGGAAGAGGGCGCAATGATGTCGGCCGCCAACATGTCATTTACTGCCGACTGCACATGCTCCTTCTCGGCTGGACTGAGCCGGAAGGGATTCTGTCGAATAGGGGCCGCGTCCCCAGTCTCTATGTGGTGGCGCAACAGGTCTGTGCAGCCAATGTCGTACTTGTGCCTGCTAAACACGTCAGCGAACTCGAGCAGCAAGCCCCTCAATGCACCCAACGGCACACTGGACAAGGTACTGGACCCGGCACACAACGAGTCCAACCACTCCGTCCCTTCCTCACCTTGGGGATGCGTATCGACATTTGAATCGGCGTGAGCAACGAGCTGTTCCTCGACGGGTAGCGGCGCGGCGTGAGCCAGCACCGTTCCCTGCGTAATCACGGCCGGCCGCGACCCCGTATTCAGGACCACAACGAACGGCTCACTGTCCCCCCTCACCATGGTCTGGGCCACCGCTAAGTCGAGGTCCCCTTTAGCCCTGTTAGACGGCCCCAATAGAACTCCCTGTGCCCCCACATCCGCCCCAAGGGGTTTTCTCAACCGAAGGGGTACCAACATTTGCGATCCCGGGGGCACCTTTACAGTCCGGGTTGCCAGCGCCTGCACCGTCGCACAAGCCGTGCGTATCTTATTTGGACTCTTCAAAAACTCAACCCGCCGACCCGACGGAAGCTCAATGCAGGCCTGGTCTATAAGAATTTTGATGGGCATTTTAGACAGAAAGTCCGTGCCTAGTAAACAAGGAACGGCCAACGATGATGATACAAAAATAGGACCCGCCAATTTAATGTCGCCAATACAAATATTCGCCCGAATCTGGCCGATGATTCCCAAAGATCCCCCGTTTGCCGCGTAAAATGGTACGTCCACCGGCAGAAGTGGCCGACATTGTACGGGAAGAATATTATAGATAAGGTCCGAAATAATAGTGGCCGACGCACCCGTGTCCACGAGCACCCGGACCTCAACCCCGTCAATGTACCCCGTTACCACGGACGACCCGGCCGACGCAGCCACAATCCTGTGGGCCAATTCGGACCATTCGACTGCCTTTGGGCCGTACGCGGACCCCTCTCGCCGAACCGAACCCCCGGCGCCCATACACGGTCCCCCCACCGCGACCCGAACGTGCCGTGCGTGTGGACCGAACGTGTGAGGTGCCGCGACTTGCCGGGTTCAGTTTGGATGTCTTGAGTCCCTGGTCGTCGTCCGGACGTGGTCCCGCGGTGCGTTGACGCGGGGCCCGGCACCCGGACGCGACGTGGCCCCGAAGGCCGCAGTTGTAGCAGACGACGAGGGACGTCGTAGGTTTCGGTTGCTCCAGCTTGCGGGAGGAGCGTGTGGGCGAACGACCTCCCGTTCTCCACTCCCCCGGTCTCGAACCAGCGAAGGCCTCCTCCCGAGGCACAGCAGGCTGAGGTCCGATGATCGTGGCGGCCGGTGCCCCGTTCTCCACCGATGCGCAGACGACCGTCGGCTTCCGCTGTAGGACCTCGTAAGCGTGGATACTCGTGGCAATCCCCAGGGAGCAGATGTCCATCTCGTCCGCCGTATTAATGGGAACTCCCAATCCGTGAGCCAGCGCCAGCAGCTGCTCCGTCACCATGGCGTCCTTCCCCTCCTTGTCCATGCGGGGAAAAGCTGAATCCGCCAGGGCGAGCAGCGCCGTGCGATAGGCGAGCGTTGTTTCTCCAACCACCTTCCGCCGATCGTAGAACTGGTGGCGACAGGTCGAGGGCGGCCCGAACACCTTGGCCAACAGGTGCAGCGCGGCCTGGAGCGTTGAGCGGGACGACCTCGGGGCAGACGTGAAGGCCGCAAGCGCGTCGTCGTCGAGCATCGCTGGCAGCGCGCGCAGGGCAGTGGTGTCGGACCACCCCGACATTTCTTGATGCGCGATGAACCGTCGCTGGAAGGCTCCCCAGTCGCCCCCGTCCGCCTTGAACACCGACAGCGCGGGCAATCGTTGCTGGAGAACTCGATCATCGTCGTCGTCGTTGGAACGATTTTCCCGCGCGCCGCTGTGGTTGTAGAAAATGTCGGCTCCCTCTGCAGGCGCAAAATGGAGAGCTCCGGCGCTCGCCGATGACGCGGGCTGCGCTGTGTGGAGACCTCTGGCCACGTGGTGTCCGCGTTTCCCGCCAACCGGAGGCGGACCCTCAAAAATGGCGCCAACTCCCAAACTTTTGGCGCGAAACGCCTTATGGCGGGAACCCTCCAGCCGCGCCGCCTCTTCCAACCCCGCAGGCGTTCCACCGGCCGCTGGAACGGAGATCTCCGCCAAGATCGCAGCGGCGGCGAGCAGCAACTCCGCCAGGCGGGAGTGTGCGTCCTGCAGGCTGGTGTCGGAGGCGGGCGGAGCATCGGCCATTTCCGCGAAGTGCTGCATCGGCGGCAACTCCTCGTCCTCTCCTCCCGAGGGTGGTGTCACCGGTACGTCGTCGTCTCCCCGGTCTTGCACGTGGGAACGAGAAGTCTTCCTTGTGTCCATTCTCCTTGAAGACAGGTTTACTTCTGACGCCAGTTGTAAAGTAGTAACTCGGCAGGAGACGACTTCACGGGTAGCACACTCTTTATTTTCACCAACTTGTAGTTACACGGATGACTAACACCCTACTTCGTTACACGGGTGACGGACACCCACTCAGCTACAACTTCGTTACACGGGTGACCAACACCCACTTAGCTACACGGGTGACCAACACCCACTCAGCTACACGGGTGACCAACACCCACTCAGCTACACGGGTGACTAACACCCACTCAGCTACACGGGTGACCAACACCCACTCAGCTACACGGGTGACTAACACCCACTCAGCTACACGGGTGACCAACACCCACTCAGCTGTACTGACACGGGCTCTTACGCCCCGTAGCCTTCCGGGACACACCCAGCCGGGGTGCCCGTCTCGGCTCTGGGTACCACCGTCCCGACCCACACGGGCGTCGGACTACGGTCCCCCCAGTCTCGGCTCCGAGCCACACAGGGCCCCGGTCCCCACAAGGACGGCGGGACTAGGGGTCTCGGGCCCCTACCTCCTCCACCCCGTCTTCGGTCTTCAACTGGTTAACACTGACCACGAGTGCTCTCGCGCGTCCCCCTTTATACCCCTCCTGCGGACGTCGCTGAGAGTACCCACTTATCTGACCAATCACTGCGCACTCGCTACGATCCTCTTTTCCCAGCTTGTGTGAGCGCGCCTCACCACCGGCGCGCGCGTCCATGCCACGCCCACATCGCGTGCCCAACCCCGCGCCCCGTGATCCATCACTGCCGGCGCACGTCAATACCACCACTACATTTGTAACTTCCAAAATCCAGAGCTATAATCCAGCACTGAATATTTATAAACCACTGGGAATGTTTTTTGCAATGCATCTCTCGTGTCTGGTCCCATCCCCGCACACACAGGGCAGATCGTGTCTATCGTATGGTACTGGGCAAGCACAACTTACATCTCAACGAGGCTGAGCAATTCAAGTCGACAATCGCTCTGAGTGTCGTGCATCCTTCCTGGAATAATGATCCAACCAGAGGGTGGAGTACCACATTGCACATTTAACACCGTCCAACTTTAAGCACAGCGATTGTGCCACCACTCCACACGATCTTGTAACGAGACGAGCAGACTGCGGCCGCAATTTACAGACAATAAAAAACTAAATTGATTGGGGTGGTTAATTGGTGAGGGTCAGACATGTGACATCTGCACCGTAGTCTCGTTTTATACCGAGTTCTCTCTACTCCACCCCATCTACCCTGCAGGTTTGACATCGCTCTGATGAAGCTATCTTCCCCCGCACCTCTTAGCGAGCAAATTAAACTCGCGGTGCTGCCACGCGCGGAGCAGGAGCTGTGGGATAACGTCACCTGCATGGCTACAGGCTGGGGTCTCCTCGCGAGTGAGTGCACATGACACCGACCACACGACCAATGCAATGCATATTCATTTGGGTTGTTTTGATATTAAGTGACAATCACATGAAGAGACAGTAAATATTTGGGTACCTGCTTGGTTACATATACAGTAGTAAAATGCTTCAAGGCTGCAAATGATAGGAAAATGCGATCACAGGCCAAATTAGTGAAAACTTGACAAATAATGTTTGATTAGAGGCGCCACGGTAGCGACATGATAACTATCTCACCTGGTATATAGGAGGTCGTGGGTTCGATCTCAACCTGACGCCTTTATATTTAGAGTTGGCATGTTCTCCCCGTGGTCATGTGGATTTTTCTCCGCGTCCTCCGGTTTTTCCCTCCACATTTAGAAACATACGTTTCGAGTATTTGGCTGCTATACATGTCCACATGATAAGCCACTTCGTTGGGCTATCATTTGTGGCCAGGTCGCTTAAAAAAAAGCTGTAAAGCTCAGTGGGCGTTACCTGGAAAAATTAAAATAAAGTTTAGTTTTAATTATAACTAGTTTTCTTTCGTTTTCAACTCATAACGCAGCACACCGTAGAGAGAGACAGAATGACTCAGAGGTGCAAAGGAGCAACCACAGACAAGTGGGAAGGCAAGAGCTAAAGTCTCCCCTCCTCCAAAGCTCTGTGGACCTCCAAATATTACGGTGTTATCAGCCAATTAATGAATGTTTATTCATGTGGGAGGAAACCAGAGCACCCAGAGAAAACCCACCGCTGAGAGAAGGGCAATACTCATTAAGGTGGAACAGGTGGAGTCCACATTTGCTGTACCGCCGTCTGCCAGGCTAGGGTACGGCACCTCCTTGACATCCACCAACCATCGCTGCCTCCACAGCGCTGGATTACAGGCCACAATGTTGTATACTAACCCTTCTTCCAAAATTGAGATTAATAATATTTGATGATTTTTATATATTATCTTTTTACTTGTTTTTTTAATGAATGAAACACACCAAAAGCGCAGCAAACTGCAAAACACCAGGTGTTGTTAAGTAATGAACTGGAGGAGGGCTAGGATGGCAGAATTTGCAACCTTGCTTCAAGGAAAGATAAGGCCTGATGAACGGGCACATGTCACCCTGCAGGCGGCAGAGACAGTGGGAGTGTCAGCCAGACATAGTTAAGGCAAAAAGCCCAACCATCCTGCATGGTTTTAAAGTAACGTCAAAATTCGAAATTCAACAACAGAGTAGGCTAAATTATCGATCCTCGCGCTCGCTCAAATTGGAGACCAGGCTGCGAGCTACATCAATGAACCATTGCCCATTTGCTGATCCAATACTGAATGTTAATATTACTGAAGTCAAAACGAATTCTATGACCTCAGCACATGGGCAAATAATAGGGCAGTGTCGACTCAAAGGCAATGGAAGAAACAGAGGCGCCTTTGTCTAAATCACAACCACAGAAAGCCAGGAATCATCACTGATTGTGTGTTCAGGGATTCCGAGCTAGTTAGAACACGTGCACAGGGGGGGAGCTGATGTAAACAACCCTGCACGTCTGAACGTGAGGGGGCCTTTGACCTGAAAGTAAGAATAACACTCCCAGAGCAGAAGGTTGGATGACCACAGTGAGACGAGAATAAGAGTGGTGTATATCTCTCAAGGAGGCAGACCCAGCTGAACAACAAGGCTGCGGGGTCACCAGAAGTTCGCATTCGCCTAGTTAAGACAAAAAGCTCAATTATTCTGTATTGCTATTAAAGTAACGTTAAAGTCGGAATTTAACAACAGGGTAGGCTAAAGTTATCGATATTCACACCCACTCCAATTAAACCAGGCCACAAGTTACGCCTACTGAACCATCACCATTATTAAGTCAATATGAAATGTTATTTCCATACTTCAATACTTTCTATACAATTCGACCCGAAGCATATGACAATCAGAACCTTCCTAAGTCAAAATTGAATCGCACCCAGACAGGAGCGAATAGTCAATATAAGGTTGAAGAGGGAAGGAAATCAAGAGCACGGCGAACTGCAAACGTAAGCAAAAAGCCGGGAACAACACCAGCCCAGCAACAGCGAGTGGGGCTTCGACAGGCCATAAAGTAGAATAATAACTCCCGGGGTCAGGGGACACAAGAAGAAGCAGGCAGACAAAAACCAGAACTGACTCCAAGGTTCAACCGCCCTCACCTACTCAGGGGTGACGGAAATTAATGAGGCCTTGAATTAACGGCAGGCAACAACAACGGCGAGCAGAGATAGGGTGGGGCAAAGACTGCGGGCTATGGAATGCAACTTCGTGTCAGTAAAGCCCTGACAAACAAGTTAAGTTAAAGACATCACAATACATAATATCGCACATAACATCAATGTTAACGCTATTCACCGTAAACTATATTCCGCTTATATAACCATCCAGGCACCAAGGAATACGAATTCCTAGGATCAAGAAACTTACCCCTTAACCTAAGATATCGGAAATAAATTAATAGTAATAAGTATATGCATGAAAAGACAAAAGTAAAACTTATGGAAAAGCCAGGATAACGGGATGAATCACCACCAGGTCGAATATAAATACATAATAAAAAAAAAACAATGTTAAACCCAGGGTCGGAGAGAAAGGGAGATCCCGGCCGTCTTTGTATCCCCGCAGCGCGGGATAGGAGTGTGTGTACGCTCGGGGAAACACCTACACTTGGGTCGGGAACCACGATGGGAAACGACAGACCTTAGGTTACATACAGAATCATAACTGTGAAATAGTAAGGGACAAATGTTAACTTAAAACTTTTAACCATTTCTTTGTGCGCCGGGTCGGAGAGAGTGTTGCCCCTCCCTCCAGGTTGTGCAACACGAACAAAGACGCCTATGAGACGATTTGTAACGTCTGTGTTTTGGGTTCATGAAGAAGGCCAGACAAGAGATAAATTGCACCCAGACAGAGAGACGACTTCGAGACAATTTGTAACATCTGGTTGTTTGCTCGTGGGTTTTATGGAGGGAGTTGACAACGGAATATACCGTCAGTGATGCACACAAGGACATACGGACACACACATGGACACACCTGCCTACGGACAGATCCTGACACAGCAAAAATCGGAAGCCCCGCCTTGTGGGCGGGATCCAGGGGGATTTTTCAGCATAAAGGAACGGATCCTGAACATTGGAAACCAGTGCGACGGGAGGGTCCACTCAGAAGCTCGACCGGGAGGGTCGACTCAGGAACGAGTGCGACCAGAGCGGGTCCACTCAGGAGTGCGACCAGAGAGTCGACTCAGGAGCGAGGGCGACCAGCGGGTCGACCCAGGAGCGAGCTCGACCGGGAGGGTCGACTCAGGAGCGAGCTGCGACCAGCGGGTCGGCTCGACTCATCTTCAGCTCGTCAATCTCTGCTGCCGCCGGAGATCTCCGCTGCCGCCGGTGGTGAGCGTCGCGACTTGGCGACGATCCAGCGCTGCACGCTACGAGCGAGTTGTGGGCGCCACCTACCGACCGGGTTCCGAACTGCGACAGCGTATCAACAGCCATCCGAGCCAATTCACCACGGTGACAGGGGAGCGCCTGATACGTATGACGCGCACCGCCCCCTCACCACACGACCACCAGGCGTCTGTTTGACATAAAGAATCGACTCCGAACACTGACTATTCAAGACAACTCTTACCACTCAAACACACTCGAACCCATAAGTCATCCGTGGCTGGGAAGGCATCACAACGAGACCGAGTGGTGGCCTCCGTCGTATAAGAGTATTCTTAATTTTTATCTTTAATATTTAGTGGGCTGTACTCTTAATCGCATAAATTCCCAACAGATCCATCAATACGAACTGATTCTTGGCACCTCCTTCCGCCGAGCCACGCTCACGTGGGGAGTGGTGGCCCACCGGATCCTTATCAGGTGATCTGGTCCCCAATTAGTAAACTTGGTATAAGATAACGATCTTCGGAAAAGGAGCACCGTCGCAGGCCCTTACTCCGAGCCGTTCTGCTGTCAGATAACCTGCCGATGTATCTGTTGAGATTGGTGCCTTTAAGAATAGTAACTGTTTTGATTGTGTTTTTTTTTTTATCGCCGTATAATCTTTCAAGTATCCTTCAGTCATAATCGCCGCACGTACTCGCATCCTCTACAGAATATTCAACTGTCCCGTGACCCAAGGTGTTAACAACGTGATAAGGGTTGCGTATGATCAATAAGGAGTGCGGTACTGCGTGAACAATATTGAGTATAATCATTCATTAACGTTAAGGTTTTCTTAGCATAGTATTTGCATGTTTTAACGACTCTCTCTCTCACTAACAACCATCGCGTTATGCGGGATCCATGTGCAGTTGTCAAAGTGAAATCAGACAATCGTTGATGATACTGTATTGATGCCGTATTGACGTTCCGGGATTGAGAGTTCGCATACTATATCATAGTTAAGGTTGAATTAGTAATAAATTGATCAATACAGAAGTGGTTGTGTGATTCTTTCCTGAAATCTATGCATAAGATCTGCTTTCTGCGTTGAGATTTGAACTTGGTGACCTTAATAAACACACTAATACATACTCAGTAAATGTTAAAGCGATAAGGGGGTGAACCGGGGTCTGGTTATCATAACGACTTGCGTTATCATAATTACACCCACTCGCATAATTAATACGATTACCTCTCGAATTGGCATAATTAAAATGTGCGTAATTACATAATTAACATATTTCCGGATAATTACACATTTGGCCAAATTTCATTAATTATTATTATTTCCACTGAATATTCATAACCCACACATACAACATAATAATTCACCCACGCACGCATACAACATAACAAATTTTCATAACCAACATATACAACATAATGGGGACTCGTCCGGGATCTCTCGCAGACAGTTTATGCATGAATTCAGGAACGAATCACTGATGTGTTAATCAAAGTGTTGTGAACTAACGTTGCCTTGTGATTGTAAACGGGGGTATACAAACAAAACGCGCTCTGAAGGGAAATACCAGAGTAGCAGAGT